ACTATACAGTATCACAGAGCAATGATAGGCTGAACACGGACTATACAGTATCACAGAGCAATGACAGGCTGAACACCGGACTATACAGTATCACAATGACAGGCTGAACACCGGACTATACAGTATCACAGAGCAATGACAGGCTGAGCACCGGACTATCAGCTATGGTTGAATGGTTTGTTGTTGGATATTTGTAAACTGTGACGATCTATTGCTGTTATTGGTGTAATAAAAACTAAACAGCCGGAGCTGGAGAGATGGTTCAGAGGTTAAGAGCATTGATTGCTCTTCCAGAGGTCCTGAGTTCAATTCCCAGCAACCACATGGTGGCTCACAACCATCTGCAATGAGATCTGGTGCCCTCTCTGGTCATACATGCTGTATACAAAATAAATAAATAAATAAATAAATCTTTTAAAAAAAAAAAAAAACTAAACAGCCAGGCCGAACAGTGGCGGTGGCACAAGCCTTTAGTTCCAGCACTCGGGAGGCAGAGCCAGGCGGATCTCTGAGTTCAAGGCCAGCCTGGTCTACGTGATCCAGGACAGGCACCAAAACTACACAGAGAAACCTGTCTTGAAAAACAAAACAAAACAAAAAACAAAAAACAAACCCTAAATAGCCAATAGCTAGGCAGGGAAGATAGGTGGGATTTCTGGGGAGAGAGCAGAAGAAGAGGAGGAAGGAATCTAGGTTCGAGAATTATGCCAGCAAGATGCCAATGAGACACCAATGAGACACGGAGGGAGTCAGTCATATAAAATGAAAGGAAGGTAAAAAGCCACATAGTAAAATGTAGATTAATAGAAGCAGGTTAGTTTAAGTTATAAGAGCTAGTGGAACAAGTCTAAGCTAAGGCCGAGCTTTCATAATTGATAAGAAGTCTCCATGTAGTTATTTGGTAGCTGGCTGGACAGAAAAAGACTCATTACCGTGGCTTTTGGGGTAAAAGACCCAGCACTGTTAGCTGTAAATGGCACATTCCGTGACATAGGTTCATCTCAAGAACTACAGTGGTATGGTTAGGGTTGGCAGAGTGTGCCGAAATAAAACCACTCAGCCCAATACTGTAAGTTATCACCACAGCCTGCCAATGGGGAGCCGAAGGAACCATTCATCTCCCTGGAGTGGCAAGGGCAATGCAATCTATATTGCGGTTCTCTCATCACAAGGTCAGTTTCTGGAAAATGCCACAAGTCTGGCATGGAGTGGTAGCCTGAGCACCATAAGCTTAGTATACTTTGTGTCTATATGTTGCCCTGTTTGCTACAATGATAGATCAGGCAGAAATGGAGACAATCCCAGAAGAGCAACCAGCAGTGAATGGAGATCAGAAGCCTCATTCAAGACAGCCTTCTCAGAGAATGGGCATCTACTTAAGTGATACACAGTTTCTAGGTAGCTTAAAACATCATTATCTATAGCCATACATTTTTGAAGGGTTCTCTTTTTTTTTTTTTTTTTTTTTTTTTTTTTTTTTTTTT